GTGTGTGTGTGTGTGTGTGTGTGTGTGTGTGTGTGTGTGTGTGTGTGAGTGAGAGAGAGAGAACATCTATGCATGCATACTCCTGTTTGAGCTTCCAGTTATAAGGGGGCGGACATTCACTATTGCTTATTTTTCTGGCCATTTCCATATTCCACTCTGTGTTTAGTGTTTTCCACGAGGTGGGCACAAATTCTCCTTTTAATTGGGTTGTTTACAGACAAGATCATTAGAATAACAAAGATGGCAGAATTCTATGCACTATCAAATCGCTTTAATCACGCAAAGCCATTTATCTCTTTTTGTTTTTTATTGAAATCCCCCCCCCCCCGGATGGGTTAAGAGATCGTTGTTTATCTGCTGTCGCCGCGGTGATTAATGCCTCAGCTTCATTAACATTCAGAGGAGAGCAGAGAAGTAGAGTTGACCAGATGTTGGTTCTGTTTTTTACCTGCCACCCTCTCTCTTAATGGATCGCTCTAGAAACACCCAGGAGCTTCTCATTATGCCCAAAATGCAAACGAGAGAAAAGCGAGTCTGACGGAGGGAAAGTTTGGTCAACATTTCACAGCGAGCTTCAGCTGGGAGGCTGTCAACACTAACCGGCCCACATCTGAAGCCTCCGTGCTGAACATCTATGTCCTGTGTGTAGAGCTTCAGCGTGGAGTGTGGGATCTGTTACTCCTATCGCCTCGAAGCTGCCATCCCCGATCAGGTGTGCAATGACCCCCGCTGTGGCCAGCCCTTCCACCAGGCCTGTCTGTATGAGGTATGCACACACACACGCGCGCACGCACGCACACAGGGCTGTGTGAGGAGCATGGAGAGAGGAAGGCCTCTGTAGAACAGAAGGTTACGGAGCTGAACAGACGGGCGCTATGGATAACGGAGATACCGCTCAGTTAAATGATGAAGCACTTTCACAGAGCTGGGGCACTCTGGAGACAAATAACAGAATAAATCAAAGCAGCATACTTGAGATGTTGTGGCTCAAGCTCTGAAACCCGTTGACCCTACAATGGTCGACGCTCATCGGGGTCCAACACAGCACAATGTGGTCCGCTGTCACCCAATCACAGAACATGAGGCCGATTGGTTGGTTCCACTGAGGCGGGGTCTTTATGGGGGAGAATTACAACTATTACACTAATATTGAGAAAGCGCTGGACTGTATCGTGGTCGCCATAGTCGGTACCCGATCCGTCCCAGCTGAACGCTAACGTTAGCCTAGCTATGACGCTAACCGCTAACAGCAGCTCATGTTTTTGTTGGCGTAGTCCGAAGGTGGGCTTCCCTACCCTACCCTAGAACCTGCTGTTAGTGCTCCTCTGGTACACTTGGTTTAGTCAGTAAATCACATCATCAGCTGTTTGTCCACCTGTGATGTGATGGAGTTGATCAGTAGTTTGAGTACCAGCACCGGAGCACACCGATGTACTGCCCTGCAGTTACAGACATGTATGCAGAGCTAGTCTGATGGGAGCATAAATGTAGACCGTGACTCTACCTCACAGAACACTGGAGCTACTGCTCTACCGCTTACTGTGCAACTGTGTGACTTTGGTGTTTTAAAATTTGGATTCACCAAAGTCTCACAGAAACACGAAAAAACTAACCGACTAAGGCAAAAGGTCAAATAAGGTTTTCTGTCGAAGGAGTCCGGTGGTGCCTTCAGGTTCCTCTGACGGCAGCTGTAGATATTGTAAATGCAGCGTACACTGGAGCCGACATGGATTCTTTTCGGTGCTTCTCCAAACATCTACTGTGGTGGATCAGAACCAGTGCTGGTCCTGGTCCTCTGTATTCAGTAAGACCGAGCATATCGTCTCTTCTTAACGCTGGGGGAGGACATTTTAAAGTTCCACATGAAAGCCATTTCAATAGTTTTCAATCTTCAATAGATCTTGAACATACCTGTGTACATTGAGGCTGACGCACATCCAAAGTACCCATTTCATGAAGTGCTCTTTTCTTCTTCTCTTCCTTCAGTGGCTGCGAGCGCTCCCCTCCAGCCGGCAGAGCTTCAATATCGTCTTCGGAGAGTGTCCTTACTGCAGCAAGGTGTGTGAGCCTCCACCTTTCACTAATGCGTAACCTGCTCTCTGCTGGTGAGAGGAAGTACAGCGTGATACAGGAGACCTGTGCATGTGGGAGTCCAGTCAGACTTTATTCACAAAAAGCATAAAAATCCTTCATTTCACTAGAATTAAATACATTTATAAACTGAAGATTCTTCTTCCGTTTCAGCCCATTACAGTGAAAATGTCAGCCCAGCAGTCCTGAGACGGTCCAGCAGGATTTAAAAACACAGAGAGCAGCCAGGAACAGGACCATGCTCACCAAGACCAACCAGGACGATGGTCCGCTCCTCCGTGCGGGACCAGCTTCCCGTTCTGGACCAGCTTCCCGTTCTGGACCTCCTCCACCAAAGCCATGTCTGTGTTTCCAGCAGAGGCCGCCACGGCAACGCCATCCATAGCTGTTCTTGGCGGTCCAGAAGGGGTCCTGAAGAGAGTCCTGATTGTACTGTGATTGGTTCAGCAGTGTGTGTTTTCTAAGTTGTTCCCGTCTCTCAGAGGTCCATTTAGTTTTCTGTCAAAGAGGGTAATTCAGGCTCTTTTGGAACATGCCGACTGTAAAATGTACATATACATATATATATACGTATATATATACATATACATACATATATATACGTATATATATACATATATATATACATATATATACGTATATATATATACATATATATACGTATATATATATACATATATATACGTATATACATACATATATATACGTATATACATACATATATATACGTATATACATACATATATATACGTATATACATACATATATATACGTATATACATACATATATATACGTATATACATACATATATATACGTATATACATACATATATATACGTATATACATACATATATATACGTATATACATACATATATA